CCCCTTCCCCCGGGGAGGGGATCAAACCAGCTGGGCCACACGAGAAGTAAGACAGGACCACCAGGAGCGCAGACGATGACTACCTACCAGACCACCCCAACCCAACCCGAAGACCCGAATTTCGGGTTGGGGGGGGGTACGGGACACGTCCACATCTACATCTGCACATCTACACGTCTACACATCTACATCTACATCCACACATCTACATCTACATCTGCACATCTACACATCTACATCTACATCTGATGCATATGTGCTTTTTCAATGTTCCCCGACCCCCCCCCCACTGGAAATGGAGGGCAAATCGGGGCCTTCGGGTTGAGTTGGGGTGTTTTGGTGGGCGGTGAGACGACCTCCCAGGCGGCGGAGCAGCTGTGTCCTCCGATTACCCCCTTGTGGGGAGGGGGGGGGGGGAGGGAGCGAGCCAGCGAGCGCGCGACGTCGGTCCGGCGGGACCGGCCCTCGGAGGGCAGCGCGGGGTGGGGGGGGGCAGAGCCCTGAGGAGACGCGAGACGTGCTGGGGGCAGGAGTCGAAAAGGGGAGCCGGCTTCGGAGAGGTCGAAGCCGGGATCGGAAAGACGACCAGCTGCAGAGAGATGGGAGCCGGGGTCGGAGACGAAACGATCCTCCTCCTGAGGCCAGCCCACGCGTGGGACGCGCCCGTCTGCCTGCGCGCCCGCGGCGCCGCGTGGATGCCAGGGCCAAGCGGGCAGACGCCGGCCAGGCCCCTGAGGGAGCACCGCCCCTCCCCCAAAAGACGGGCTGGGCGGGCAGACAATAAGGCCTCCGACGGGGAGGCTGGAGACACCTCGTCGTCATCGTCCTCGTCGTCGCCGTCGCCGTCGTCGCCGCCGCCGTCGTCGTCGTCGCGTGGGCCTGCAACAAAATAGCACCAAGAGGGCCCATGCCCCGACCGCATCGCGCACTACCCTTTCTCAAAACCTGGCGCGAGCTGGCGAAAGAAATCCGCCGATCCGGCGTGTGAGCTTACGAAAGCTACATCCTGAGCTTCAGCTCTGCTGGGGGGGGGGCCGGGGTGGCTCTGCCGGGGTAGGGGGGGAGGGGGGGGGGTTCATCGGGTTCACCCTTTCTTTCCCCCCCCCCCTCGGGAATCCCAAACCGCCCCAAGACGGTCCAAAAGGGGCCCAAGAAGCCAACAAGACGGTCCAGGAGGCGCCCGAAACGGCCCAAGAGCGCTCCTGGACGCACAAGATGGCCTGAAGACGGCCCAAGAGGCCTCCAAGACGCCTCAAGGAGATCCCAAGAGGACCCCCAAGAGGGCCCCAAGAGGGTACAATAATAAAGTTGCTAATAAGTTTTGAAGCATTTTGGCATTATCGCCTTTTCCGTCTTGAAGCGCCGAAGACGGCCCAAGAGGCCCCCAAGATCGCCCCAAGACAGCCCGAGAGACCCCCAAGAGGAGCCAAGACGGTCCAAGAGGGACCCAACATAGCCCTGGAGGCCCCCGAAGACGACCTCGAGAGGCCCCCCAGATGGCCTCAAGAGGGTGAACCCGAACGGACCCTTCTAGTCCTCCACCCCAAGATGACCCCAAGAGCCCCCAAGATGCCCCCGAGGCGCCCCCAAGGGGCCCCCAGAGGCCCCACAGAGGTCCCCAAGAGGCCCCCAAGAGGACCCCGAGAGGCCCCCAAGAGGCCCCAAAGGCCCCCAAGAAGCCCCAAGAACCAAGAGGCCCCAAGAGACGCTGACTCGCGTGCTGCCAGGCCAGAGGTGCACGGCCTGACTTGGTATTGCTCGGAACCGAAAGCGATGAACGAAGAACCTTCCACCCGTCGCCGTCACCAGTCGTCGGTCGTCGGCCGTCGGCAGCCGTTCGCCGTCAGTCGTCGTCGTCGTCGTCGTCGTCGTCGTCGTCGTCGTCGTCGTCGTCGTCGTCGTCGTCGTCGTCGTCGTCGTCGTCGTCGTCGTCGTCGTCGTCGTCGTCGTCGTCGTCGTCGTCGTCGTCGTCGTCGTCGTCAGTTCGTCGTCATTAACTCCTTCGTCGGTCGTCGTCGTAATTATCCCGCTCGTCGACCGTTGGTCGTCCGTTGTCGCCGTCATCGTCCATTTCAACAACAATAGCATCAGGAGCGCCCCGGATCGGCGGCACTGGCCGGAGGCCACTACAATAGTGGCAAATACCCACAGCATGCATCACAACTGGGCCCGGCCCGCACAGTTATGTGCTTCTAGCCTCCTAGTTGGGGTCCAAGCAGATGGGGTCGGACGATCGCCGATGCATCGCCGATGCATCGGCGACGCAGGTGATGCAGCGACGCTGGTGCTGCATCGGCGCCGTCGGCGTGGAGAACTTCGGGCCCCATGTCGCGCCGCATCGCCGACGCAGCGGCGAGGCGGCGCGAGCCTCCGACCCCGCCCACTCGGACCCCTCCCCTGGGGAGGCCCAGGGAGGCACACAGCGGGAGCCACCGTGGGCCGGGGGAGGAGGAGGAGAGAGAGGAGGAGGAGGAGGAGGGAGAGGAGGAGGGAGGAGGATGAGGAGGAGGAGGAGGAGGAGGAGGAGGAGGAGGAGGAGGAGGAGGAGGAGGAGGAGGAGGAGGAGGAGGGGGCCCCGCAGCGGGCAGCGGTGTGCGCAGAGCCCCGGGTGCGGCACGGCACCTCGGAGGCAGGCCAGCCGAGACATCGGCGGCTACCTGCAGGATCCGACGCAGCGGGCAAAAAATGGCCACCTCGGTACAGAAATCACGCCTGGAGCCCCAGACCCCATGTCCTCCTCCTCCTCCTCCTCCTCCTCCTCCTCCTCCTCCTCCTCCTCCTCCTCCTCCGGCCCAGGAATTGAACATGCCCTCCTGCGTCCTGCTTCGAGCCAGGCCGGGCTGGGAGGGTCCCGGGGCCCGAAGCGGGGCGAGGGCGCCCGTGGCGAAAAAAGTGGCAGCGCCCGGATCTCTCTCCGGGCTCCTCCCCCGCCCGACCCCAGTCCGCCCCAAATCGTCCCCCGGGGCCCCCTCCCGGGGTCCGGCCTCCTCGAGACGGATCTCCGGCCGTGGCGAGGAGAGGCCCCCCGAGGGCCGCCAGAACAAAGGGCGAGCTAAGCGCTGGGGAGGGCCGCGGTTGTCTCGGCTGGCCCCCCTCTGAGCATCCGCGTCTCGCCCCAGGTACAGTCGGGCCCAGGCCAGCATGCAGTGGAGGCCAGTCCACAAGAAACTTCCCACGGGAAGCCCAACCCTGAGACCCCAGGACGTCCACTGGTTTTGGGTGTGGGCACGTCCAGCAATCCATCGCAGAACCATCGGAACCCAAGAAAACAGGGTACCCTGGACGCAATCAGGGTGCTTCTTGGCATGGGCTTCCCCTGCAACGTCCTTCCAGGGGACCCTCCCCAGGATGCACAAGAGCGTCCAACGAGCACGAGAAGCACGAGGGTACCCTCCCCGAACCGACCTCGGTCTTGTACAGTCGGGGCCTTGACCTAAGGAACCCTAAATAAGGAACGAGGCCCCTTTTTTCCATAAGTTAAACTTCGATCTCCGGTCGAAAACATAAGGAACACCTGAGGCAAGCTGCGAAACACGTAAGGAACGCGGAGCCCCTCCCCAACGAAAAGGGTTCCTTCTCCAGGGCCCCGACTGTACCCCAGCCCGGCTGCACCCCGCGGACGAGGCACGGCACGGCACGGCAAGGCACCGCACTCGCGCCGCAGCAGGTGGCGGACGCAGGTCGGCCTGCGCGCGGCCAGCGAGCTCTGGCCGAGCGAAACGGCGCCCACGCGCACGTAGTCAGAGCCGCAGGCAGGACGGCGCGAGGCTGCTGCTCGACGTGTCTCGGCGGCGGCCCGGCGACACGCCGTGCCTCGGCACCGGACAGCGTGCCGCTCCGCTCCGCGGTGCGAGACTTGATCGGGAGCGGCCGAGAGGGGGGTGTCCAAGAGGGGGGCGTGCAGATCATGGCCGGCGGCACGTGCGCGGCCCAGCGGAGGGGCCAGGGACGCAATGAAACGAGAAGAGGCGCCATGAGATCTGGGGAAATATCATGGCCCCCGCCACGATATCCACCCCCCCTCCTCCTCCTCCTCCTCCTCCTCCTCCTCCTCCTCCTCCTCTTCCTCCTCCCTCCTCCTCCTCCCCCCTCCGGGTAGGTGGGCAATCTTGGGTCTTCCCTCCTTCCCTCCTCCTCCTCCTCCTCCTCCTCCTCCTCCTCCTCCTCCTCCTCCTCCTCCTCCCTCCTCCTCCTCCTCCTCCTCCTCCCTCCTCCTCCTCCCCCCTCCTAGTCCTCACCCCCCTCTCTGCCGCCCCCGACTTGAGGGGAAGCTCGGAACGCCGACGCCGAGGCGTTGGAAGTGGTCCGCGTGTGCCGCGCTGGAGGGGCCCTGCACTCCTCCTCCTCCTCCTCCTCCTCCTCCTCCTCCTCCTCCTCCTCCTCCTCCCCGACCTCCTCCCTCCTCCTCCTCCTCCCTCCTCCTCCTCCTCCTCCTCCTCCTCCCGACCTCCTCCCTCCTCCTCCTCCTCCTCCTCCTCCTCCTCCTCCTCCTCCTCCTCCTCCTCCTCCTCCTCCTCCTCCTCCCGACCTCCTCCTCCTCCTCCTCCTCCTCCTCCTCCTCCTCCTCCTCCTCCTCCTCTTCCTCCTCCTCCGAACCAGCGGAGCGGCGCGCTGAGCAAAGGCCCCCGACCAAAAGGAAGTGCGGAGCCCCGATCCTCGATCCGATGGCGAAGACGCCGACGACGCCGACGGCGACGGCACCAGGGGACCTGCATCACGGCGGCGCCCCGGATCCACTGGGTGACGGGCGTGCCCAGGAAGATCTCCGCTGCCGAGTCCTGACTGGGTAATTACGGGTGCCCTGCCTGAAGGAGAGACCTCCTCCTGCTCCTCAGCCTGACCGTCCTTTGCTCTTCGAAACTGTCCGATCCCCTTCCTCATCCCGGTCATCACCCTTCTCATCACAGGGCCTGAGGTGCGGAAGGCAAACCCACTCAGTAATATCCGTGACCATCCCCTCGGGCACACGTTGACCCAGATTACGGATCCGTGGATCTAGCCCGTGGGCGTAGGGGGGGGAAAGGTCCCCCCCTCGCCCTAAACATGAAGCCAGCGCCGCATGACTTTGCCACGGTGCGAGCCGATTCTTGTATGGAAACGGAACGCCCCGCTAATCCACGCACTTTGATCCTGTTTTCCGTTCCCTCGATCCCTCTCCCCTTTCATCATACTCCTCATTCTGGTGAGGCATCAATCGGTCGGTTGGTCGTCAATCCGGGCGGCTGGCACTGCCTGCCCAGACCTCCGACATACAGTTTCTGTTCCCAGTCCGTCGGCTCCTGTGCTCTGGAACCCTTCCGTGGAGCCGGCGCTTCATCCTGGGCCGTCGTCTGTCAGTCCTGGGGCCTGGGAGCGGCTCCTCGGCGGCTGAAGGCAGCGCTAACAGAAAATAAAATGGCTTGATTTGCGTGTAATGAAAGAGACGGGTCCTGAGGGAAACGGGTCCTGGAGACCAGGGCGTGCCCTTGGGACCTGCTCTGCATCTTGAGTAGTTCTTTGACGGCCCAGGGGCCCGGAGAGGGCCACGGAAGCCCGCAAACTCGCGACAAGAGTACGGGACATGGGACCCGTTTCGCTCAAGAACCCTTTACCCCAACGCGAGCAATCCGAAATTTTCGAGGCATCCCGTCGGGTCGTGCGAGCCAGAGGCCGCGATCTCGAAGATGATAGCGCCGGCCGCCAAGAATGTGAGCCCCGCGTCGAGCCTCGGCAGCAGGACGGGGCGCGAGGCGGCGGGGGAGGTTCGGGGGCTGGAAGCGGCCCCGCACGGGGGGTTGAAGAGGCGAGGGGCACAACGGGGGGACCCCGTCCCCCCTCATCCCCGTCTCTCCTCCTCCCCCCTTATTTTTTTCGAGCGCATACCGCCAGCCTCCCGCGGGCCGCCGTCTCCTCACGGCAGACTGGGAGAAGCTATTTCACATGATGGATACATGCGCAGTTATGTATGTGTCTGTAGTTGTGTATATATGTGTGCACATACCGCCGACGGTCTGCCAGCGACTCAGCAAGACCCGTAGCTTGCCACGGGCAAATTGGACAGGGTGGTCGCTAGACGCCCGTCGGGGGGGGCGCCTCTCCTCCTCGTGCACATCCCCAACCTTCACCCCATCCCATGACGAATACCATGCTAACACCATCACAATGCCCATTAGCACACGTGTGCGCCATGATTCGAAGGTGCCATGCAGACGCCAATATGCATAGATTTACCTACACGCATACATGCATGCATGCATGCATGTATACTTGCATGCATGCAGATGTACTTACATACCTACAATATGCATACACCAGTCCAGACAGACCGACCATCAGACAGCTCGACATACATACATGCATGCATACATACGTGAGTACATGCATACATGCATACATACATACATACGTTCATGCAGGCATGCATACATACATATGTACACCAGTACATGCATACATAATACATACATGCATACAAACATGCATGCATGCAATCGTGAATAACGACATGCAGGCAGACGGACATGTATACACACTTACAGACACATGTGCAAAGCTGCACATGCATACGTATACAGGTAGCGTGTAAGGATGTACACGGGCGAACAGGCCTGGGACCACAGAAGAGTAAGGATCAATTGAACCTTTCAGACCACGGTCACGCGCGGCAGCCGATCATGTGTGTGTGTGGCGCGCGCACCTGCACGCGCGTCGTCCTCCTTGGCGCGTCCTCCCGATACGTCGCCACCGGGGTCTGACATGGAACTTCGGTAAATGTATCGGGTGTGCCACGCGTCATTCATCCAAGGGCAGCGCTCCAGGCAAACCATACGACATCAAATACGATGGCCCCCAAACGAGTCGCCGCATCCTCCATGGGAGCGTGGACTCGCGCTCACTACGGGAATAATGTCGGAGCCCTTTGCTCCCAAGCGGGTGGTTTGAGGGGCCGTGCTGGTTGTTAGTGCACATTACGCCTGCACGTAGTCTGGAAGACAATGTCGGTTTTCGTTGGTTGACGCTTGCCCGTGTCCGAGCTCGAAAAGGCGGAGGTTGGGGGGTGAGTCCGACGTGAAACGGAGACCCCCCCTACCGGGAAATCGATTTCGGTTTCGGGTTCGTGTCGTGCGTGCCGTGCGTGCGTGCGGGCGAGGCGAAGCTGCGTAGGCGGGCGAGAGGAAACCCTCCTGTGGCTGGGCCGCGGCCGGACCAAATGTTTCTCCTCCGGCGGCCGCTGGCCCGACGTGTCCCGCCGGCGTCCCGCTGGTGTCCCGAAATCCTTCTGTGGCTGGGCCGCGGCGGGACCAAATGTTTCTCCTCTGGCGGCCGCTGGCCCGCGGTGTCCCGCCGGTGTCCCGCTGGTGTCCCGCGGGTGTCCCGTCGGTGTCCCGTGGTGTCCCGTGGTGTCCCGTTGAGTGAGATCTATAGTGATCGGAGGTGAGGTGGTGAGATCGAAGTGGAACGGAGAGCCCCCCTACCGGGAAATCGATTTCGGTTTCGTGTTCGTGCGTGCCGTGCGTGCGGGCGAGGCGAAGCTGCGTGGGCAGGCGAGAGGAAAGTCTCCTGTGGATGAGGCGCGGCCGGACCAAATGTGTCTCTTCCGGGCGGCCGGTGGCGCGCGGTGTCCCGCCGGTGTCCCGCCGGTGTCCCGTCGGTGTTCCTGTGGCTGAGGCGCGGCCGGACCAAATGTGTCTCTTCCGGGCGGCCGGTGGCGCGCGGTGTCCCGCCGGTGTCCCGCTGGTGTCCCGTCGGTGTCCCGTCGGTGTCCCGATGATAATGTTGATGCTGATTATGATGATGATTATGATGATGATGGTGATGATGATGATGGTGATGAGGATGATGATGTTGATGATGGCGATGATGATGATGATGATGATGATGATGATGATGGTGATGATGATGATGATGTTGAAGATGATGATGATGATGATGATGATGATGATGATGATGATGATGATGACGCCGATTGTGAGATCGATTGTGATATCGAAAGTGAGACCGAATGTGAGATCGATTGTGAGATCGATAGTGAGATCGATTGTGAGATCGATAGTCAGATCGATTATGAGATGATGATGGTGATGATGGTGATGATGGTGCTGATGGTGATGATGATGGTGCTGATGGTGATGATGACGTTGATGATGTTGATGATGGTGGTGTCCCGATGACAATGATGTTGATGATGATGTTGATGATGGTGATGATGATGTTGATGATGATGATGGTGTCCCGATGATGATGATGATGATGATGATGATGATGATGATGATGACGTTGATGATGATGATGTCGATGATGATGATGGTGTCCCGATGGTGATGATGACGATGGTAATTGTGTGGATGATGATGATGATGACGATAATGGTGTCCCGATGATGATGATGATGATGATGATGATGATGATGATGATGATGATGATGATGATTATGATGATGATGATGATGATGATGATGATGACGATGTTGAGGATGATGATGGGATGATGATGATGATGGTGTCCCGATGATGATGGTGTTGATGATGATGATGATGTTGATGATTATGGTGTCCCTATGATGATGAGTATGATGGTGATGATGATGATTGATGATGGTGATGATGATGGTGTCCCGATGATGATAATGATGATGCTGATGTTGATGATGACGATGTTGCTCGTCGTCGAGTACATGACCAAGTACTTGCTGGTGGTAAGGAGATGAGGGGGGAGGGTTCGAATGTGAGCTCTATTCTGAGAGCTCGGAGACCGAATGTGAGATCGATTGCGAGATCGATTGTGATATCGATAGTGAGATCGACTGTGAGATCGATAATGAGATCGATTGTGAGATCGAAAGTGAGACCGAATGTGAAACCGAATGTGAGATCGATTGTGAGATCGATTGTGAGATCGATAGTGAGATCGATAGTGAGACCGAATGTGAGACCGAATGTGAGATCGACTGTGAGATCGATTGTGAGATCGATAGTGAGATCGACAGTGAGACCGAATGTGAGACCGAATGTGGGATTGATTGTGAGATCGATTGTGAGATCGATAGTGAGATCGATAGGGAGATCGATAGTGATATCGATAGTGATATCGATAGTGAGATCGAATGCGAGATCGATAGCGAGATCGATTGAGTGAGACGTTGGTTCCCCCTCCCCCCTCACCTCCTTATCACCCGCAGGGTGGTCGTATAGGTATCGATATGGAGATCGATATGGTGTCCCAAGGTGTCCCGTGGTGTCCCGTTCAGTGAGATCGATAGTGAGATCGATAGTGAAACCGATAACTAGTCAGATCGAGAGGTGTCCCGCGGTGTCCCGTGGTGTCCCGTGGTGGCCCGTGGTGGCCCGTGGTGTCCCGTTGAGTGAGATCGATAGTGAGATCGATCGTGAGATCGACAAGTGTCCCGTGGTGTCCCGTGGTGTCCCGTGGTCTCCCGTTGAGTGAGATCGATAGTGAGATCGATTGAGCCACAACCTCCTTATCACCCGAAGGGTGGTCGTATAGGTATAAAGCCTCAGGCTGGTGGACCGTTGGCGCGGGGTTGAAGGTTTCGGCCACGAAATGCGTGCTGTGGTGGGCAAGGAAGAAGTCAACGCCAGCGACGCAAGAATGAGGCCAATTCAGCCACAAATTGGTGTTGTGTAGGAGGTGTGGGCTGACCGAGGGATAAGGACCGATGAGTCCTCTCAAATAGCAGGAACGCGCAGCAACCGACTATATGTGGCGCGCGTGCCTGCGGAAGCGGGCGAACACGGCACTGGATGTATGACATTCGGCTGGACGATTTTGGGGTACCCCGAAATCTCCCACCACAACTAATCTCCTCCTCCGCGGTCTCCTCCTCCTCCTTCACATGTTTGTTGCCATTGACGGGCGTGTCTCAGAAAGTAGGGTGAGGCCCATAATGCGAGATACCACTGGCAGCTCAAGGAACTCGCTGCTTCGTGGCCCGTAAGCTGTAACTAGTTCCGACGCCGACACCATCATCACCGGCCTGCTTACTAGACGAGGTCTTTCTCTACAGTCGGGGCGTTGACCTAAGGAACCCTAAATAAGGAACGAGGCCCCTTTGTCCCATAAGTTCAACCTCGGTGTCCTTTGGAACACCTCAGGGAAATCCGAGGCAAACTTTGAAACCATCAAGGAACACCGAGCCCCTCCCCAACGAAAAGGGTTCCTTCTTCAAGACCCCTACTGTATCTCTGCCCCCCCGTGATGGTGAGTGGTCTGCGTTCTCCCACTCTGCCCCCGCCTCCCCCGCCTCCTCGAACGCACGTGCTCCTCGGGGGGCGCGGCTCGGGGGGCCGAGGCGGAGCTGGGATTAAAGCCCGGCGCGGCGGAGGCGCGACGGGCGTCGTCGTCGTCGTCATCGTCATCGTCGCGCGCGCTCCCTCTCTCTAGGTGTCTCTCTCTCTCCCCTTCTATTCCCCGCTCCCCCTCACTCCTGGCCCCGTCTGCTTCTTGCCCCCCCCCCCCTCCGCCCAAATAGACCGCGGCCGCCCCCATGGGACCGCCTGTTCGGGATCTTGGTGAAGAAGTCCTGCTGGTACGCGGACACCTTCAGGCAGAAGTCGAGCACCTCAGCCACGACACGAGGCCGCCCCCGCGGGACTGGTATTGGTGCGACTGCAGGTCACACTGTCTCTTCCCTCCTCCTCCTCCTCCTCCTCCTCCTCCTCCTCCCTTCTCCTCCTCCTTCCTCCTCCATCTCTCCTCTCCTCCTCCTCCTCGTCCCTCCTCCTCCTCCTCAACCTCCTCCTCCTCCCCATCCTCCTCCTCCTCTCCTCCTCCTCCTCTTCTCCTCCTCCTCCTCTCGTCCCCTTCCTGCCCTCCTCCCCCTCCTCCTCCTCCTCCTCCTCCTCCTCCTCCTCCTCCTCCTCCTCCTCCTCCTCCCCCTCTCTGTATGTAATCCCCTTCCTCCTCCCCTCACTGCCTCCTCGTCAACGTCCTCCCCGTTCACGTTCCTTTGTCCTCCTCCCTCCTCCTCCTCCTCCTCCTCCTTCTCCTCCTTCTCCTCCTCCTCCTCCTCCTCCTCCTCCCCTTCCTCCTCCTCCTCTCCTCCTCCTCCTCCTCCTCCTCCTCCTCCGCCTCCTCATCCTGTCCCCTCCTCCTCTTCCTCCTTCTCTCCTCCTTCCTCCTCCTGCCCCCTCCTCCTCCTCCTCCTCCGCATCCTCCTCCTCCTCCTCCTCCTCCTCCTCCTCATCCTTCTCCTCCTCCGCATGTGCCTCCTCATCCTCCTTATACTCCTCGTTCTCCTCTTCTTCTTCTCCTTCCTCCTCCTCCTCCTCATCATCAGCAGCATCATCAGCAGCATCAGCATTCGCATCCTCATCAGCATCATCAGCATCGTTGCCGAGAGGGCTTCATCCTCAGCAACATCATCGTCGTCTTCTTCGTCATCATCAGCATCATCATCACCATCGTCATCAACATCAGCATCATAATGTAACATCATCATGACCACCACCACCACCACCGCCAAAGCATCAGCAGTATCGGCATCATCACCAACGGCATCATCACCATCAGCACCATCATCATCACCGTCATCATCATCAGCATCATCATCAGCAGCATCATCATCAGCATCATCAATAACATCATCAGCAGCATCAGCAGCATCAGCAGCACCATCATCACCAAAGCCTCATCATCACCACAGTCAACATCATCAACATCGGCAGCATCATCATCAGCATAATCAGTATCCTCATCCTCATCATCATCATCATCATCACATTCACCATCCTCATCATCGTCATCAAAATCAGCACCATCATCATCACCGTCATCATCACCAGCATCATCATCATCAGCAGCGACATCATAATCATCAGCATCAGCATCAGCATCAGCATAATCATCAGACCCAGCATCAGCATCATCATCATCATCATCATCATCATCATCATCATCAGCAGCATCATCATCAACAGCATCAGCCTGATCAGCATCATCAGCATCATCAGCATCATCAGCAGCATCATCATCGTGTTTCTCCGTCCCCTCATGTAGTCGTGGTGTCGTCAAGGAGGTTGCCACCTGAGTTTACGATACCGCACGAAGAGGCCGGTGGTTCACGACCCAGGCACGGTGACAGTGGCGGGATGGACCCAAGGTAACTTGATGGCAGCCCTTGTGAGCCTGCTGCGGCGATGGCGCTCTTCTGTGGCGCGCAGGCGGCGGAGCACTACTGGAATGCTCCTTCAACTGCGCGCTGCTACTTAAAACCGCCTCCATACTGGGCCCACGACGGGCTGCTAGTGTGAGGAACTGGGCCACCACTGCAAGGGTAGTCCATGGAAGCTTGGGCGCTGCCAACGGTGAACGGGGCCCAAACGGTCCCAGCTTCCCCGGGGGAGGCCCAGGTGGCCCCCAGGGAGCCCCACCACGAGACCGAGAGAGCCGCAGGTCGCGCCTGCATCCGACTTCCTCCTCGGAGTGGTGCTCTCGTCTCATGCGCACCATGGCGCGCCACCAAGTGCGCAAGTGCGCCACCAGCTGCACGAGAGGTGCGCCACGGCTGCGCCACAGGTGGCGCCACGGGGTGCCAGGAGGCACCAAGGAACTCCAGGCGCACCAGGCACTAGGCGCCCAGAGGGCACGAGGCGATACCAGGGTGCCCCAGGAGGCCGATAGAAGCACACGTTAGCTCCATGAGGGAGGGGGCCCAGAGAGACCACAAAACGGTTCCTCAGGATGTCGCAGGAAGCTGCCCCAGGATGTCCCCAAGAAAGCCCCGAAAGGCCACCGCAAAAGAGCCCAAAGAGACCTGCAGGAGCCACCGCATGGTGAAGGAAAAAAACGCTCGGACAAGATATAAGCGTGTCGGGCTCGGCGCTCGCAATGAATTTCGTGGTATGCACTGAAACGAACATAACGCGCAACACGATATCTCGATCTTCACGCACTCGAAGCACAGGAACTGCAGCACGTTCCTATAGCAAGCAAATATCGGTGGCCGATGGTTCGCCTGCATGTGTCCCTCCGACGCTATGCCGCAGTCGCAGAGGGAGCCCTTACCTTTGCCGCGCGTAGCGCAGCCAGCTCCAGTGGAGTTCTCGTCGTATCATAAGTCTGCGGGCCCGCAATTCCAGCGGGCCATGACGACACAAAGGGCCCCTCTTCACGTTAACGAAGGCTGCCAACGCCGCCAATGGATTGCGAATCCTTCCCGTGAACTTGAGGTCCGGGTGGGGGTAGGTGGCAATGAGGGCGAGGTTGCCAGTGCTGAGGTGCAGGACCACTGGGGCGTGGCCGACGAACACACTGTCGCCTTGCTTGTCTAGCTTGGCTCTCCAATGGTCGAGCGTCGTCGCTGGGAAGTGCAAGCGTACTGCCACCAATTCTCCTCATGAATGCCCTTCTTCTGACTGCCGCGACACACTGCCACTGTGGCCGTCGCCTTCCAGCCTCCCTTTTGCGACGCCGTCTTGACTCTGACCGTGTAGTCTGGGCTGGCATCCATCGCAAGGTAAACCTGCTGTTTGCAATCGTCGCCCCTGATGGATTTACCGATCTGCGGCCCCAAGAATAGCCCCAACTAGAAGATAATGCCGAAGAGGACGCGAAACTCCTGTGACCGCCCCGCTTTCAGTCTTACGCGACCGCCCTCACATCGCGACGCTAAGCCCTGACGTCCTGTGGTGGTCGACAACCGCTCTGACTGCGCCTGATCCCCGGGTCCAAACAAGATCGGCGCTGAACCCTCATTTACATCAGCGGCGGCCGACCACCATGTCACGTCAAAGAGACGGCTGGGCAGGAGCATATTCACTGGAGGCAGAAGCACCCGAATCACCTTGCTTATTACGCCGAATTGCCCGCGCTGGTGCAAAAGCCTTTTGGTTGGCCTCCCTGAGCTTTTCTGGTTTTGCGCCTCGACGCTGGAGTCGTGATCCTGTCATTTGCCCGTGTCGTGGCTCGGCTTCGTAGTGCCGTCCGCTGCTGTATCATTCGTTTCTTGCTGTTGCTGCGGTTGGGGTTCCATCTCCCCGTTCTCGCCGAACTTGCCCTTCTTCTTCTTCTTCGGCTTGGCCATGACCTCTTTCACCTTCGCGTGAATTTTCTGGATGTGCAAGAACTTGGAGCCCCGCGTCCCGAGGTGGTCCCTGCAGAATCGGTCCAGCTCATTATGCCATTTGAGGGCGCTCGCTTTCTCGTCAAGGCTGATGTCACACTCTTCCAGCTACTCGAACAAGGTCGGGTCGTACTTGGACTTGACTTGGAAGCACGAATCGGGTTCCGCCTCCCCTGGAGTCGGCGAGACGTCAAGATCTGATTCACGGCTCGCCTCCGAGTACATCACGTTGCTGCGCTGATGCCTCCCCCAGCTGGCCCGCGAGCTTCTCCATGTGCTCGTGCTGGTCGTCCAGGTAAACCTGCGCGTCCACCATTGTATTCCGCTGCTAGGCCAGCTGCTGCTCGACCGTACTGATGCCCGCGATGGCGTCGCCGTGCAACTGCACCCCTGTCCTCGGTTTGACGTTGCCTTTGGGGGTTGCTCTCCTCGCCGACCTTTGCTCGCAGGATTGTGATCACCGCCTCCATCGCTGGGTCGACCAGGGCTCATTGCCCCAGATACGTCGTGAGCCCGTCGAGGAGGCTCGACGCGTTGGGAATAGGTTCTTCTTGTTGTAGCTGGTGTCGTTCTGGCTGCTTCTGTACCCAAGGTGGGTGTCCGTGCTCGCACTGCGTCTGCACGACGCTCCTGCTCGCTGGCAGACGCTTCCTCCGCGGCCACGATGCCCAGGCCCCCGAAGGCGAACGTGGTGTGGAGGTCGCTGGTTTGAGCTGGGTTGCGCGGTGCCCTCGTGCGTTTCATGTTCGCGTGTAGCCGAACTGCCTGTAGTGAAAATAGTTTGTCTCCCCAGCTCCGCACCCCAGCATTACGACAGCTGAGAAGGAATGCTCACCTGCGGGGTGCAGGAGGCGGGCAGGGGCCTGAGGCGGATCAGGTCCTGCCACAACGGTTGTGGAGACTGCGCCTCGGATCATTGACGCCGCTTGATTCCCAAGGGG